TATAACTACTAGATGAAGTGTTGTATCAACAAATCAAGAGAAGAAACACTTACATTTTTTGGAAAATTTGGAAGAAGATCTTATGATACTTGAGAGAGAATGTGGGTGTTCTTGAGCTTGGAAGTGAGAAATGAGGAAGGAAAGGAGTAAACTCATGCCTTAAGCATGAGTTCACGGCAAAAGGGGAGTTCACGGCCCAAACCCCTCATGTTTGGTCGTGAACACCTCGTTAAGGTGTTAATTGTTTTATTTGTTACACAATAATCCCAGAAAATACTTCCTTTCATTTGTTTTCTCGAAGAATTTATATTAAAATACCCAAACGGACTTTAAACCGAGCTAAAAATTAGCATAAATGAATTTGACTTTTAATTGACGTGCTTGACTACAGGGTTTGTACAAATGGAAATTTCGGGTTGTCACAGAAGAGAATAGAGTTGGAGTCCAGGCTTTGGATCTGAGCTTTTCTGTAGATGGAGCATCATTTAAAGGTATAAAGCTCAAAGCTTTCCCATCCTTTTTATTTATGCATGTTATGGTCCAATTTAGGGCTTTTGGTCCCAAAGCTTGAAGCTTTATGAGTTGTTGCACTCCAGAGCCTAATGTTTGTCCTTTAGAGTGTTTCTAGTGAAGGGGATCCATAAAAATGAGGTCTTAGACGTTGGTTTCAAGCCATGCATGAGTTATGAGCTTTTTGAGATAAGAGATTGGGTGTTTTGTGTATTTGTGACCATATCAGCCATGCAAAGGCTTAATGTCACTGACTTTATGGAGTAAGAGCTATTAGGGAGTCCAGATCTGAGAAATGAGCTAAGGTCTTAACGGGTTAAGACCAAGAGAATGGACTAAGCAAAGTTGGGCGTACGCCCGGCGTAATTCCAGTACGCCCCGCGTACTGGGTTCGTGTCCCCGATCAGATTCGTGCATACTTGTGTATGCTGAGCGTACCAAGGCAAGTATGCCCGCGTAACCTCTCTGTGAGCTTTTGGGCTGAATTTATTATTGGGCCCTAAGGGTTGGGTCTGGACTTTTTGGCTTGTGTATTAGTTACTTTGAGCAGAGAAATATTATATTGGGCTTTGGGCCATTGAGTTGGGCTTGCCTTTTAGATGGAGAGTTGGGCCTTGGGAGAGCCCATCTATTATTGGGCCTTGGTGGGCCCAATGTGTTTTAGATCATTGATAGGCTGGTTAGTGGACTAACTTTAGACCTAATGAGTGAGAATTTGGACTTAGTTCCTAATTGGGATAATTGTGGGTTTGGCACAGAGTTAGTGGCCGGTGCATAGCAGCAGCGTTCATAGGGGTTGTTCATCATCCGAGGTGAGTCTTCTCACTATACTTACCATGAGTGGTATCTTTGTGTGAATCAGATGTCTTATGTGTTTATATTGAGTACTGTTATATCTTGCATTATGTCTATGTGATTTATGTTGTGTATTATTCTGAGTTACTAAGTTAGGACCGGAGGGTCCACAGAGTTAGGACCGGAGGGTCCATCAGAGTTGTGGGACCAGAGGGTCCCACTGAGACACATTGACCGGAGGGTCTTACAGAGTTATAGCCTCGAGTGGCTAATGAGCTGGGTATGGTATTTGGGGGAACTCACTAAGCTTCGTGCTTACCATGTTATGTGATATGTGTTTCAGGTTTTCTCAGGATCGCGGGAAGGCGTCGGCTTGATTGTACACATCAGAGAAAGAGTTATATTTTGAGGATCCTGGATTATTAATTACGGAGTTGTGTTTTGTAAATTAAATAAATGAGATTTTTGTGAAACGTATTATGAGATTTATGTGAAATTAAAATGAAAATTTTGTTTGAAAATTTATGGTGTTACATTCGTCTTTGGGAAATTAAGACTAATTCCTTGTTCACATGTATAAGTGAGTCAAGTGAAGGACTAGGGGATCGGGTACACTTAGTGTGCACTGGTCAGGTCCACCACAAAGAACGATAAGACTATTCGGCATGATTTACTAAAAGTTTAGTAAATATGGTTATGCTTACAAGATTAGGTGTAATTCTGAATCATTGAAAAAGTTTCAGTGTATGGCAGAACGAATAAGAAGAATCAAATTAGACAGAAAGATAAAAGTTTCTCCAATCTAAAAGGAAAGGAGAGTACATATGTATCGTGTTTTATGATCATCTTAATGATTTTGAAAACCATATCACAATTGATCCTCTAAGGACACCTTAGTACATAAGTATGGCCAAGAAGAGGAATCGGAAATTGTTGAAATGGTTAAATCAATTAAGGTGAGTCATACTTCGTTTCAAAATCAAGTCTTAGAGTCATACTCCAAGATTGTTCCTTGAGTGACATATCTTAAGTAGGTTTATAACACATTTAGAATTGGTAGTTGTGATGTCTTTAAGACAAAGACCAACTAAGACCAATTGTATGAGGTGTTTTTCCTTGATAAGAATCCGCACTAACTCTTGAATATTTGTTTGTCAAGGAGTGTTTCTTAACAAGAGAATCTTATATGTCAAGAAGTCAGTGGGAGTCCTAAAGATCTTAAAAAGTTTCAGGAACTAATCAAGAATAAACCTATTGTGTATCACTAGCTCACGACTTGAGGTTTGTAACCTATCGTGTTGACATATTCTTGTTTCTATGCCCATTCCAGTTAAAAGTTGACTATGCATGTGAGTTCTATGAGTTCTCAGTTGTTTGCATAAGGCAATGCACCTTGATTAGTGAAAGTTCATTGATCAGTAAGGGTGAGCTGCTAAGAAACTTGGAAAAACATGGTAGGCCCTTGTGCTGCCAAGTGACAAGAAATTAAGATTGAACAAGTTCAGTCCAAATGAGTTTGAATTTTTCATAGACCTTGTCTTATGATAATGGTTGGAAATGACAGATTCACATGGATAGGAACACATACACCATTAAATCTAAGTGGTAAGGTTTCTCTCCAATTCATGAAAATGATTGTGAGGAAACGCTTTCACCAAGTAGATTTTAAGGAGATAGTAGTTGTGTTAATTGCGTTCTCAAATTCGGTTATGATTACGGCATCCCTCTTCATAGTTCGAATTGTGAGAAATGGCAAATAGTCTGAACATTCAGGACTTATTACTGTAAGTTCTGAAATAGTTTAGACACACATATTGGCTTTCTAATAAAAGGTGTATGAGCTTAGATAAAGGCTTATCAAAGCATCTCGTATCAGAAATCTGAACTTTGGTAAGAAAGTCAATAAAGTATTGATTTCTAGAAGTCCAGCTGATACTGGATACATGTCAAAGCTAGTGGGAGCATAAATGTTATGCTAGTAACAAGATAACTGTTATGCTAGTGGGAGCATAATTATTATGGTAAGTGTTGCGAGTTAGCAATACTATTTACACTAGTACAAAAATGACCTACAGACACACCAAAAAAGTGTGACCATATGCGTATAGTGACATTTTATTTTTTTCACTGAAAGTGTGACGGAAGTTGACGCCATCGTATGGGTCTTATGGTCACTTTAAAATGTAGTGTCAGTATGATATGAAAACATGTGGTCGTATCATAAAAGTGTGACAATTGTGTAGGGAATTTTGTTCCTAAAATCAATCATTCTATCCAATATTGTGGCGTTAAAGCGTAAGTAGACACACTTTTTTAGTAATTGTAGTAAATGTATATCGACGACTGACGATATACATGTTGTTTCAATGTGGCGTTTTGCTAATAAATTGTCACACAATTCAAAGTTTATTAAAAACTATTGAGTGTCTTTTGCAGACATGCAATTACGATGAACATGACCATGTTCACTAAATAGCCACATGTAATTACTTTCATAAGTGACGATTTGTTAATAATTAGTCACACAAACAATATTTTATTGTCACCATTGTCTATCGTATAGAGACACATAATTACGTGAAACATGACCTTAATCCTTATAAAGACACATTTTATTAAAATTATGGATTTAATATTAGCTTATGGTCATATTTGCATTACTTATCATGACCGCTTCTTTTATTCAGACATATAAAAAGTCATAAGTATGTCTATTTTATATCATTTCGACATAGAAAATCAATTAAAAATAACCACAATTGGTTTATAGACAAAATTATGTGACTAATATTTATATAGACACATAAAATATTGTAATTTTGGCGTGACTAATTTTTATGTAAAGCCACAGGAAATTTGTCTAATATGGTGTAACTAATGTTTATGTAAAGCTATAGTTATCAATGGACATAATATCCATTTCATTTCCAATTTTTTGTAAGATAAAAACAAAAATAAACATATTAAAACTTAAACGAAAATGATATTAACATTAATAAAAAAATCAATACATAAGTTTTCAATTCAAATACTAAAGACATTAACTTGTAATCAAAAGATATCTATACAAGACTTTACACATAAACTAAGAACTATATCTCCAACATTGTTGTCATGCCCTCTAACGTTGTATAAGTTTTCTTTTTCTTCTTAGAATCGTGCAGTTCCGTGTTTTAATTTTGATTGGATGGTGGATTTGGTACCTGGAACAACAAAAATTGTAGGTGTCAAACATTAAGATAAATATGAATAATTAACTAGTGTTAATGTGTTATACTTGTGTATTAGTCGACTTGACCAATGTAATCTTTAATTTCTTTTATTTCATCATACTTTCATTTTTTCCTATTAAAGTATTGTCCAAATAAGAAAAAATATAGAAGTATAATACTATAATTGGATAGAATTTTCAAAGTATAATGTCCTTATAAGAAAAAGTTAGAAGTATAATGTTGTAATAGATTAACAAAATTGAAGTAAGAATTTAATTGTCTACTTACATTTTTTGCAATAAATCCATCGAAAAGGTTGGTGGTTTTCTCCATTGACCAATATGGACTGGCTTTTTGTATCACTCATCACTACCCTGAATATATAGTTGTATTTGATCAGAAAGAGGCTAAAATGTGATATAATCATCAACTATTGATGAATTGACAAAAAAGTACACCTGTAAGATGCGTCTGCCACAGTAACTACATGGGGCTTAGCTCACCAAATGGAGCTCCTTTATATTGCTCCATCATGTAGACATTATAAAGATGAGGAAGCTTTGTGAACGGGTTGACAGCAATTAGAATGCTTCCTGTGTATGTCTAATATAAACACCAAGTACAGATTCAAAATGAAGCAATGCAAAAATCAAGGATAATGTAGTATGAAGAAAGGTAAAAGAGTGTTATAGAAGAAGTACATCAAGTGATGTATACAAAGAACAAAGTTCACCAGCCTCACTAAGAAAATTAGCTGATCCCTTTGTTGAATAATTCACTTTACTCAACTGTCTTATGTATCACTATCTCCTACTCTAAAATGAAAGAGAATCACGACATCTTCAGCAACTTTAAAGGAGAAGTATGTATGTATAACCAATAATAAAAATACATATAAAGTTATAAATTATAACTTGTCAAAACTTACAACACACTCCAAAAATGTAGTATTATATATTATTAAAAGATTGAAGCTGCCATTTGGGATATAATATATTTGACTTACAGCAAGGAAAGAGCTGACAAAGACAGGGGCTTGGATGACAAGCCTGGTCAATTGAGTATACATAGCAGCAGAATACCTGCACAAATATTCAGTTCCAATTATAACATTATTATCATGCAAAAACAAAGGCATAACATCGATCATGTCAAGCAGAAGCTCACACTAAGGAACAACGGAAAGTGCTTACTCCATATATACTCTCTTCTTTTGTGCCTCAACTTTAGCTACAGTCGTTGACTCATGCTATGAAAAGGTTACTAATAATTTTTAATAATAAAAATAATCAAGGGCCAAAGAGTTTCTTCTTCTTAAAAGGATAAGCATGTCGAATTCAATAAACAAACATTAAGAGCACTGCACATGCAGGAAGTCCCCCAGCCTTCTATTTGGATCAATAATTAATTATTCATGACCAAAAGTTATATGGTAGCATCAAATTAAGGATATGGATTCACAAGCATGTTATTCAATAGCTTTAACTTCCGTTTTGAAACAATATATTATAATTTAGATAAAGGTGGCTCTTTATACATAGTGCACCAGCATAAACATGAACTTTTCATCTATGTAACATGTAACATGACAAATGACAGAAGAAGTTTGATGATGGGCATACCTTATCTTGCATCTTTTGCTGAATCTGCTCCAATTCTGGCCCCAAAATCTGTATGCAAAATGTCAACAAATCAATGCTACCTCTAAACAAGATAACTCAATATACTATTATACTCAGGACTCAGGAGTCAGGACACACACCCAGAGAGAGATGGGGAGAGATGTTGACTGATGTTTTACATATATTGGCTTTCAACTTCAAATGTATGAACTAATAAATATGTTAGGCAAATGAGTAGAGCTCACATTTAACTTTGAGGCAACCTTGTGCTGATTAATCATGATTGGAGCCAACAAGGTTGTAATAGCAACAGTTGCTATTACTATGCTTGCCCACCTGAAAGTGACAGAAAATGAATTGATGTTAATTTTTTCAATAATCAATATACATATGCATCGGAAGTATATCACATACCATGATCGATCATGGAACTGTAACAACCTCAACTAGGCATTCACACTTCATTATTATACATGAGTCATGACATACAAACTACGAGCCAGCAGATGCATTTGTCATTAAAAGCCTATTAATTATGTCAGAACAGAGTATAACATGGTGTTTGAATACTTCTACACCATAAAGGCACCCATTAGAAGGTATTCCCTGATAAGGTAAAATCAGTATTATTTAAAATCAATTAATCAAATGCTTTTAGAATGGAAGAAGAACCTACCTTCACAAATGACAAGGATAAATGTTAGAGGGATTCCGAAGGAGCAGACGATGTCGGAGGATATCTGGAGGAGTAGAAGGCGTAGCATCGACTGGAAGGCGACCACGAAGAGCCAGAGAAAGTTGGTGACGGTGTCTTTTATTCACCGGAGGCGGCAAAACAACAAATCTATATACCCGCCTCCTATCGGTCGGACAAGAACTCATCGATAAAGCAAATTGCTCTCGAATTTCTGGTGACAGACGACCTAATTTTACCTGTGGTTCCTTGAAATTCACCTCCATGTGCGCCGATTAAGCAAGAAATTAGGAAGGAAAACCTACACAATCTCGTTCAGCAGCTGAAATCAACTCAATCGAAGACTAATCACCGAGTCAGTAGCGTAGATCGTAGAGCAGAAGCAGATTTTGAGCGATTCTTGAGCGTAGAAATAGATATGAGAGAACGGAGCCCTCGCCCTTGTATATTTGGGAAGAATTCGAATAAAAAAAAGAAATTAAGAGAAAATAAAGATAAAACGCATTAATATTTGGGAGGGAGTTTAAATTTAAGGTGTGTGAAACTGAAGTTCAAATAAAATCTCGAGTGGGAAATTGAAAATTTCATTTGAAATTTTGAATGATGGTGTTTAATATATATATATATATATATATATATATATATATATATATATATATATATATATATATATATGTGTGTGTGTGTGTGTGTGTATACATGTATGTGTGTGTGAGTTTCTTTGAGACCAATGTAATATTATAACACAAAGGATGTGTTTTGTGACTATTCATTTTGGGTGCAAAAAAAATGGAAATATTAAATAAATTAAGGCGAAGCCCTAAGTCATAAACCTTAAGACATATATAACTCTAAAACCCCAATTCATATAGGTAATGGTATGTATGTAGTCATGAGCCAAATGTCTTAAGCCATTAGTCCTATACCCCAATTCGTATAGGTAATGGTATGTATGTAGTCATGAGCCAAATGTCTTAAGCCCTTAGTCCTATACATCAAGTCCTAACTCATAAGAAATAATTCATACACCAAAAGTCATATGACTTAAACCCTAAGCCTTGGTACATAAGCCATAAGCCATGACATATGAGCCATAAGCCATAAACCATAAGCAATATGCCCTAAACCCTAACTTATAAGCACTAAACCATAAGCCATGACATATGAGCCATAAACCATAAGCCATGACACATGAGCCATAGGCCTTAATCACCTAAGCTCCAAGCCTTAAACCCTAAGTCATAAGCCTTAAGCATAAAGTTATAAGCCATAAAACATAAGCCTTAAGCATTAAACCATGAGTTGTAACCCATAAGTCTTTAAACACCATAAGCATAAGCACTTATCCTTAAGCCTTAAGCCCTAAGCCCTAAGTCATAAGTCATAAGCCATAAGCCATAAGCAATAAGCCATAAGCCCTAAACCTTTTCTCCTAAGCCAGAAGCGTTATGCCCTAAGCCATACATCAGAAGCTACAAACCATATCTCCTAATCCATAAACAATAATCCATAATCCATAATTCATAAGCCATAAGACCTTAACCATAAACCATAATCCATAAGAAATAAGACTTAACCCATAAGACCTAAGCCACAAGCACTAAGCAACAAACCATAAGATGTAAGTTGTAAGCCCTAAACCTTGAGTCACAAACCATAATCCCTAAGCCCTTAGCCCTAACACATAAACTATAAGCCTTAAGCACTAAGCCATACCACCTTTAACCATAAGATATAATCCACAAGCAATAAGCAACAAACCATAAGACATAAGTTGTAAGCCCTGAGCGCTTAGTTACGAACCATAATCCCTAATCCCTAAACCATAATCCCTAAGCCCTAAGCCCTAAAACATAAAATATAAGCCTTAAGCCCTAATCCATACCACCTTTAACGATATGCTATAAGCTATGAGCGATATTCCATACATCATAAGATTAAAGTTGTAAGCACTAAGCCTTTAGCCATAAGCCATAATCTATAATCCATAAACCCTAAACCCTAGGCCATAAGCATAATCCCTACACCTTACGCATTAAGCAAGGTGCCATAAGAAATATCTAGTAACCCATAAACCATAAGCCAAAATCCCTAAGTTCTACAACATAATCCCTAAGTCGTACACCTTAAGCCTTAAACCATAAGTATTAATCTATAAGAAATATGTTATAAGCATTAACAAAACCCTAAACCAGTAACCAAAAGCTACAAATTTGGTCCAAAATGGGTTTGGCTTGCAAGGATGGTCCAATAGTTTCGTTTTGTTGCGACTTTAGTCCAATGGCTTGTACACTTATTCCCACAAGCTCATAACTTCTCATGTATGAATTGGGGTTTTAGATTTATATATGTTGTAAGGTTTATGACTTAGGGCTTCGCTTTAATTTATTTAATATTTCCATTTTTTTGCATCCAAAATGAATAGTCACAAAACACATCCTTTGTATCATAATATTGCATTGGTCTCAAAGAAACTCACACACACACACACACACATATATATATATATATATATATATATATATATATATATATATATATATATATATATATATATATATATATATATATATATATATATATATTCTAAAATATTTTAAATTTCTCCTCAAAATTTTAGTTTGAGTTTCCCGGTATAATTTCACTCTTCCCACAAAAAATTAAAAGCCCTAATTATATTTCCTACCTAAAAACTGGCTCTAACATTCCAATCAGTTCGTCGGCCTCTCCATACAGATCACTCGTCGCCGACATCTCCACCATACAATCTCCTGATTGCTAGCACCTCTCTGTGACTTATCTGCCACCACTTCTCGCCTTATTGCGACCTGCATGTCTCTAAATATTGAAGCCATATACTACCTCCCATGCCCGTGTTCCCCTTTGCGGATACTGATGGCCGACTCCAGCTTCCTCACCAACGATTGATGTTTCTCGTACTCACCCTACATGACGCCCATCGCCCTCACCTTCACCAGATGGCCCGTTACCCCGCCTCCTACCTTTTTCACATACCTCTCCTTCAAGAACCATAACTGTTCAAAACCGGATTGAAGCAATAGATTGCAATCGATATGTATATATTCGATTATTATAGACACTGTATTCACGGAATCACAATCACTGTCTCATTGCATCCTCGGTTCCTGTCTCTTCACGCAGCCATTGGAAAATCGCTTTTCTGTTCCTGATTCTGTATCACTACACCACCATAGCCCCACATCACAGCGACACCTGCCCCCAATTACAGTGGTGTAGCCACCATAGCAGCGGCACCAGGTACCACCGCCACTATTGCATTAGCTAGAAGTTATTCTTTCTTTCCTTTCAAACTTTTAGTTGTGTTTTCTTGCTATTAGTCAATAGTTCAGTTTGTATTTAGAGAATATCCATAATTGGGATGCTGAAAGTTGTGTTTTCTTTCTTTCTTTCCTTTCAGACTTACCATTTTTCGCCTCTCCATTTCAGGTATGCTTCTTGTTCTTAATGTCTCTCTCTGTTTCTGTCTTGTTTGTATCTATGTGACCTCATCTCTATTTTTTAGTCTCATTTCTGCGATTTGAAGGGGCTAAAACGTAGATAGTAACCTATGACAAGTTATGCTTGGTCTTATGGGATAGACTTGATACTTAGATTATTATAAAAAAAACAATAGTTGCAAATTATTATTAGAATCTGGAATGATGTGTTTGATTGTAGAATTTCTTTACATGTAGTTAGCATATGGGAATTGTCTTGGAGAGGTCAAAAGCAATATGCTTTGGGAGAGATACACTTGGAAGGCAAAGCCTTCTTCTTTATTGGCCAAGTACAAAAGAGCCCTGATTCATACTTTCTTCTGAATCAACACCTGCAATTTCATGAACTGCATTGTTGGGAAGAACTACATGTAGAGCCTATAACCTGTCTATGAATTCACCAATAATGGATGATAATCTGATGGGTGAAGTCAAAAGGCATAATTGGGCGGACCCCTTGCTGGAAACTCATTGAGTGGGATAAAACTTTTGTTGAACCCAAACCTATAGATTTTACCGAATATCTTTTTACCATATTATACCATCAAACTTTTCTGGTGTAATATTGTTATTACACAAAGTTATTTTTTTTCAGTTTTTTACTGTAATGGTAGATGACATGTTATAACATAAACTGCATATTATAGCAATGTACTTTCGTTATGCAATGTTAGACAAAGTTGTATTCTTTTCATTTATTTATCATACTTTTCTGTTAAAGAAAGTTGTATTCTTTTCATTTTTTTAATGATAAATGATCTGGTGCAAGTAAAAGAATAGATGAAAAAAGGGCAATTTGGTCCTTTCTTATAGCTGTTATTCAATACAGCTATATTGTTATTTGTTTTTGTTTTTATTATTTTTATTATTTTTTTTGGTTTTTTCAGAAATTGTTTCTGTTGAGGTAACTTTACAAAACTGTCATTCAATTTTTTTCATTAATTTATACAACCTTTTTAATTACAAATAAAGCAATGTAATTTTGTAAAATGGCATGATTGACCTTTTTGTTCATTTTTAGTTCTGCCAAATGATATCAAAGAAAAAAATGGTCAAATTTATGAGTCGTCCAAAAAGTCTAAAATTGTCATTTTTTTGTATAATAACTTAACCAGGAAACAATTTCAATTTTACATCAACAAATTTTCATTTTATGAAGACTATTCTTTAAACTTACAAATACAATAGTACAACCAGAATGAACATTACATAAATTTAGTAACATATTCAATAAACGACCCATAATTATACCGATAAGAAATTATTGTTCTTTTATAACTATATTTACATATAGACACATATAATAACTGTAATAATAACTAAATGCTACCTACACTCACGATATTTGTTTCTTCTCAAAGCGAATTCATCATATTTTGACACACCTAATAAAAAGTAAATGACCATAAACAACCAATACTAACTTGTTTTCTTACGTTTACTAAGTACAACTAGTACAGAACCGCCCTATGGACACACAAATATTTAGTGTGACCATATGTATCACCTTTTAGCTACTTTGTCTGGTATGTGTCTAAAAAGTCACCACGTTATAAACACACATACAATTGCCTCATGTCACAATACGTTTATCTATTGTCTCTTATAAAAAAGGTATGAAAATGATAATCGATACATGTGGTTGATTGTGACCTATGGCCTTAGTGTTCGAGTGTGATTAATATTTGTCACATTTGGTATAATTAAGTGTGGTTAAAGTTTTGATTATCTATATAATGACCACACAA